GAAGGGTCTCTGTGGTGATTAATAGAGAGCAGTTTTTTTTTTTTTTTTTTTTTGAGGCATTAAAGTTGACCAGCCGATTCCTGCCCCAGTCCACAACCGATTGGAAGTCCTTTTCGAGACGCACGGCCAGGTTATTTTTGTCAGTGACACTAATGATATGAAAATCAAAACAATCCTCGAATAAAAAACAGTAATGAAGGACAGTTAATTAATGAAATAAAGTTTTTTTTTTTAAATCAATATGCGAATTAATTAAACCTGAAGAATTAGATTGCCTAGAAGTAGATAATATATAATACAGAGATTTAGAATTTAGGGTTTTAATTCTAAAGTAGTTTGTAGCACGTTTATTTATTATCTTTTAGTTGTTTTGGGGCAAAATTGCACTTAGGGGCGGCTCCATCAACTGAGCAACCAGCAACGGAGGAAAATTATACTGAGAGGTGCCCAGCCCTGGGGAACAGCTGCCCGGGGCTGTGCCCTCTCACTGCACCAGAGAAAGGTACAGGTGTTCGCACCAAGGCCAACAGAACCGATGGTTGCGGAGGTTCGGTCATTTTTTGTTCTTAGCCCGGGTGTACGCGCTCGGGAACCTCATATTAAACCGACCATGTATCGCAACCTGACCTCGTGGAGGGTTGAGTATATACAAATTACTATAGAGTGGAGCTTGGGCTTTTTAATCTTAAATTTCGTCGGGGAGTTGAGCTTTAATTTCGCATTTATTCATTTAGATTCCATAATATAGGTTTTACTTAATTACCTTTTATGTTTCTTTAACTCTTCAAATGTTGAATGTATAACTATTTTTAATTTTTATTTTCCCATCTTTACACTCTAGTAATTTTATCTCATAAATTTTCCCCTGTTCTATCACCCATGAAATAAAAATAATTGTTTGTACGGAAAATAAGGATCTACGTGCATCATATCGTCTTTAAATTAAGCGGCAGCAGACGAACTATCGTTGAACTTTTAAAAGGTAAGCTTAAACATTAATTCAATACTTAATTACAACGATCAATTTTTAGTTTTTCTGTAGTTTATTGACGCCTATTGCATCTACTCCTCCCTAGCTATTGTGATGATGGACAAACCAAGAACACTCCACAGGAGCTAGCTTAGAATTTTACCTAGATTAAATTGTTAAGCTAGCTGCAGTTTTGGATACAAAAGGAAAATAAGTGTTATTCCACTTGAACCATGAAAGCAGCGATAATGGCTAGTATAATATATTAATATATACTTTTAACCTTGCATAATCTTGCAACCCTGTATCTGAGCTAAACAAAAATCGTTCCTGTGCTTAACTTTTCTAGGGCTTTTAAATGAGCTAGGAATCCTTGAAATCGGACCAGTGGGAGTGGAGGAGTTACTTGGACACACACACGCACAAACACACATACATACACTGTACTTTATATATAAGATGCAAATGACACTGTGTTGATGGCTGACTCAGAAAGAAAACTACATTTCACCACCATAGAGAAACTTTTCTGCTTGCCATCTGACGCGAGACTTCTGGGGAGCAACATATTTCGTCTTCTTGGCCATTTGTTTTCAACTGACTTGAAGTGGAGCGACCTGATCGAATCCATAGCTGCATCTACTGCAAGGAAGGTTAGGTCACTTGTGTCGTACCAGAAATTTTTTCTCGTCAGAGTCCATCTTGCCCATTTAGAAATCTACCATTCGCCCGTGGACTGAAAATGGCTACCATATCAGGCCTGGTGCTTCTGCTATTAATTTCAAGGTTCCAAAGAAGGATCTGTAATGACATCGATCCTGACTTGGCAACTCGATTTCAGTTACTTTCTCAATGACGTAACATAGTTCCTCTTTTCTACAAGTATTTTCAAAGCAGCTGCTCTGACGAGCTTTTTTTTTCTGGTCCCAGATTGCATGAATTTAAGCGTGCTACTAGATTGGCATTTAGGTCTCACCCTTCTACTGTTGAACTAGCTAAACGAAACCACTTCTTCTACTTTAACAGTTTCTTTATTCGAACTCCCCGCCTGTGGAACTACTTCTGTTTACTTGCTTCCCTGATAACTACAATGTTAAAAAATTAAATTCAGCATCAGTCGCCATTTACAATCATCTTTTTTTTTTTTTGCCCTTTCTTCAATCTGCAAATACATTACAAATGTATAGGATATATTTCAGACCTGAATAAATTTCTTGGTCGCCCAACTAAATGTATTTAAACGTGCTAATAAATTGGCATCTAGATCCCCACTCGTTTATACCTAAATGCGACTTCCACTTCTATTCCAAGAATTTCTTTTATCGTATTTCCCGCCTGTGATACTCACTTCCGTTTACTTACTTCCCTAACAACTACAATTTTCAAAAACGTCAATCCAACGTCAATCGCCATGTTCTGTCTTCTTGAATCCCGTTCATCTTTGCCGTGAGATTCTCTTTATTCAGTTTTTTTCTCTGATTTCACTCCATATAACCCCCTGCGTACTAGTAGCATCCCCACCTTGCATGGGGTGAGTGACTGAAAAAAAAAAAAAAAAACATGTGTAAGAAAACAGAACGTATGGTTGTCGGCAAAAACGCCCAAGATGCGGACTTTGATTTGGAAATGTCAACATCGAACAGGTATAGATGGTTAAATATCTGGTAAGGAGAGAAATCAGAAAGCAACTTGGATTAGCCAAAGATGGTTTCCATAAGCTAAACAAAATACTAAGAAGCAGGAAAAGAAGGACTGAAAATCTATGGGCGAAGCGAGTAAGCAATATGGAAGTCATAAAGAAAATCGCAACGTAAAGAATACTTATTTGAAATTTTTTGGACATATAATGAGGAAGCAGGGTTTGGAAATCTTAATCCCCACGAGGCATATTGAATACAAGAGAAATGAGGGAAGGCAATGAGCCACTAAACGGACGAGTTTGTGTGAATGATTGCCAGAACGGATTGGGGGCCTTAACAAAGGGAGAAAAAAAGGACCGGTGCTTACTACCCACCCCCAAATCTTCCGACTAGAAGGTCGGGTAGCAAGCCAGATTGGGGGACCCAGGCAGTGCTTTGTGACCATCACTATCTTATCAACATTAGCTTTTTCCTACCTACAAACTGGATTATCGAAAGATGCTTTCCATAAGCTAAACAAAGTACTATGAAACAGGAAAAATTCGTTAGAATCGAAGAAAAGAAGTATTGAAAGTGTTATGGGATCCACCCCTTTTTCATACAAGTGGACTCGACCAGTGTGTACTTGGACTGCTGCCGTTAAATACCCAGAGTCAGTCATAGTAGAGAGATTGAGATTGTGATTGAGTTGGAGTTAGAGTAATAGTGTGAGGTAACCGCTTGTAGAAGTCACAGTTACAAGCACGTAGACTCTAAGGAAGTCCTACTTCGAGACTGGATTTACCAGACTGTATATATATATATTATTATGGCTACTAACCACGTTTCTGGATTTACTAACCGTATTACCAATTGTATTATTGTGTAAATACATTTATTTGTTATATTTCATTCCTGCGTTTGTCATTTATTGGAGACCGTATTTCATCTCGGAATCCACAACAGAAAGGCTGTGTGATATAAATCACCATGTATGGTAATGAATTCTGCATAATCTCCCTACGGATGAGAAGAAAAAAATGAGACATCAGAAAGATGGTTCTACAGAAGGATACTGAGAATTCCATTGGATGAAACGAAAAAGTCTAAAGAGAAAAGGGGAAAAAAAAGACACACCCAGAATCGATAAAAGAAAGCATCTGAAAATTCTTGGGCATATAACGAGGCTTTGGAGAATTTGACCCACGGGGCATATTGAGGGTAAGAACTGCAGGGTAAGGCAGCAGACTACCTATCTGATGTGACTGTATGGATGGATGGTGGAACGGGGTCGGTAGGTTTGGCAATTGGGCAAACGTTGCTAAGGGCTACATGGGACAGTAAGTTGTGGACAGTCATTAACGCCCACACCTGAAAAGACACGGCACGTAGCAAAAGAAGTAGAAAGACTTAAAACTTTAACCACATCTAAAACATCAGCCATCATTACTAATTCTTATTAGTGATAGTGATAGTTACCTAGGTGTAATATTGGGTGCGCGGTGGTGTAATGTAATAGCAGCTCGGAATGATAAAACGGGGAGCTGAGTTCGAATTCCAGTGGAGTTCAAATTCACTTACGCGCAGATAACATTGGAAAAAACTGGAAACCTCTTTTCGTCTCACCAGGCATAGCAGGCCTTGGTTGGCGACCCGTCTAGGAGATGGAAAACCCTATCTTACCGAAGACACGATCCTGATGCTACGGCTGTAATAGATGTGATACCCCTACGACCCTAACGGGTTCCAGCAATCGTGATCAAGAAGAATAAAGCTGTCATTGTTATGAGTAGTAATAATATGAAACAAATCTTTCACAAACAACATTTACTTATATCCAACACTCGACTTCGTCATTTACCGTCGGCCATTGGGTGTGCATGAAGCCCCGTGTTTCCTATTTGAACATGGGCTTTATATTCTTGCGCGCGATATCTGAGAGACGGATCTTCTCTGTAGGGTGGTGTTTATGTATCTGTCCGGAATACGGTTCCTTCTCACGCCTGCATTTGAGCCAGTCACTTGCATCTGCACTTATCGCCAAGGAAGTCATTTTGCCGTTGGCTTTTTATGAAGGAACACTGAGGCAGGTTTTGAATTCAGAGAAACTTAGTTTGCCTTGTCATGTAGCACAAAACTAAAGAGAGAAGAGACGTGTTCTTGTCTTACCCAAGGGCCTTAGTACAAAAGCCAACATAGATTGAATTTGAATTCGGTTCGTCAAATCTATTTTCTGTACTGATAATCCGTTACACTACCATCACATCAAATATTAGTATATTACAAAGCTAAATAAGATAAAACTTAAGAAGGAAGACTGTGCTGCGCATTTCTTCAAAATGGAGATAGTCGAGGATTTAATTGTTTTGTATTAAAAACATTTTTTTTAAAAAGGCTTACGAATACATTACGTTAAAACACTGGTTTCCGTACGATCAGCGAAGTTAAGCAACGTCGAGCCTGATCAGTAACTAGATGGGTGACCGCTTGAGAATAGCAGGTGCTGTAAGCTTGGATGTGCGTGTGGTGTGGTATAGTGGAAAATGGCTCGGAATTTATTAATCGGAGAGCCCAGTTTCAATTCATGTTGGGTTCGTTATATTCACTTATTCAAATACCTTTGGGAATGTTATGAAATGACCTCTTCTCCCCCAAGTATGGGTTAATTAGTAATACTTGTATCACTAAATCATTATTATCTCCCTCCCTAACAAAAAAAAAATCAATGTAAAAAAAAAAAAATTCTGGCTTTAAATAACCTGGAAAGTCATAAAAAGTGAATTAATCACACTATTGAAAGGCAATTTTTTGTTAAAAATGATTTCACCAGACACACACAAACACACATACAGACACACACACATACAGACGCACACACACAAACACACACACACACACACACACACACACACACACACACAAAAACAAAGAATCATAGGTACATTTGCCTTTGGAGCCGAGTTCCAATTCCCGTTGGGTTCGTTATATTCGTTTACGTGTATTTATGCTTGGGAGAGATACGAATCCACTTCTTCTCCCCCAGCTATGGATTAATTAGTAAGACTTGTATCATTAAATCATTATTATCTTCCAAAAAATACTTGTAATTTAAAAATATCTTCTGGCTTTAAATAACCGGTAAAGGGTTGATAAGCCGTAAAAACGAAACAATCACTCAATCAATGAAATACTGATTAGCTACTCGGACATTCTTAGATTTACCGTATTTGACGGTATATAAGGCGCACTTATTTTTATTAAAAGTATCTTTTAAAATTCCCCTGCGTCTTATATACCATATGTACGTTTACTAATTTTAGTAATTACTAATTTTTTCTTGATTTGCCCTGCTGAAATTGGGGTGCGTCTTATACACTCGTACGTCTTATATACCGTAAAATACGGTATTTACATTCTCTGGAATAAAGATGTATAGAAACTATCGTGGCCACACACTGAGGGATCAGTTTATATGTTAATTGTAATAGAGAATCGATCCCCCAATTTTATATCTGCAGTCTAATTTTTTGTTTGTTTATCAAATTCTGATTAGGTATATAAATCCTCCTCTTCTCGCCGTAACTATCGGTTAATTAGTAAAACTTGTATCTTTCTTTTTATGTGCCATGTCCTTTCAGGACGTAGACGATCATGGCTCTCCACCTCCCTTTACCCCTTGCAGCTCTCAGCAAGCTCCTTCCCTTTGCCTCCTCCCCCAGACCCCGTTCTATCATCCACTTGCTTAAGCCCGCTAGGTATATCACGCGTTGTTTTTCCTTGCCTTTCTTTCCCTCTATTCGACCCGTGAGTATCAGATTCTCCAGGCCCTCCTTCCTCATTATGAGTCCCAAAAACTTTAGCTGCCTCTTTCTGATGTTAATTATAAGCCTTCGCCTTGTTTGCAACCTCTATAAGACCTCATAGTTGCTCACACGATCAGTTCATGATATCCTTAGCATCCTTCTCCGTCGCCTCGAGTCTGTTCTTCATCTTTGAGGAAATCGTCCAGCATTCTCTGCCGTAAAGAAGGACAGATGTCCCGTAACAGCTTAGGTATCACTAAACCATTATTATCTACCAACCCCCAACCAACCCCCAACCAACCCAAATTCTTACAATCTGGAAATATTTTCTGGCTTTAAATAACCTGCAAAGGGTTCATTAACCATTGAAGACGAATCACTCAAAATAATGTCGGTACTCTATGAGGAATATTATATTGTATATTATCTCTACTGACATATTTCATGTGTTCCCATTTTCAATACTAATTATATTCGTTTACTTGAGTTTTAACAAATGTACCTGGAACTCCCTAAAGGCCAGACATTGAATATTGGCCCAGCACTCTGTCATTTAATTTAAACATCATACCCAACTTGCTACGGACGGTAGTACTGTTTCTAACGAAGGACATCAATTGAGCGCGGCCTCGTTTCTCTTGACAGTTCATCGGCCATAAATTACTTGTTTCACTTGTGTTGACATGAACGGCTATTTGCGCAGCTAAATTTAGACGAAGGTAGTAAAAGGCTATCGGCCATTAATCAACTAAAACCCCACTCATTCATAAATAGATGCATGTAGGAATACTGCCCGAAAAAAAAAGTTTTCTATTCATTTGAGACAAACCTTAGCTCTAGACATCAGTTGTGGAACTCAAACGACACTGGATTAAAAAAAAAAAAAATTCATCACTTATAATTATAACCTTCAAAGATTCGTTAAAAAAATTGCGTACATAATGAAAAAAAATACCCGAATCTTAATAGAAACAGCATCTTATCGTCAACATCTTCAAGAGGAAAGGATTTTTTTTATTATTAAATTATATTTTTAAATCCATTTCAAAATTTTGCTTACAAATTTTACTTTCCAATGTCTGCGGGTGAACATGAATTAGTATCGGAGATTTGAGCGTCTTTTTAAAAGTATTAAACTCATTAGTTTTAACATTCATGCATATCAGTTAATTGTTGGGCCCTAATAAAACATCCACGACTTAAAAAATTAAAATCTGTTACCCCCACTTATATAAAATTTCGAGAAATTAGCTTGTGTTGAGTTTAATTTTTATAAGATTTACATTATGTACATTATTCGGACTATTGTCCTCATCTTTGTCGCCATATTTATCACAACGTTTCGGCCGTTGTACGCTTCGGCCTTCTTCAGGTGGTTGGAATGTTGAACTGAACCCTTTATTTCGCTCACTGGGGTAGGGTGCCATGTTTGATGGATGTCAGTTATCAGTTATCTCTTGTTAATTTCCCTCTGCCTTAACCGGGTATTGAACTCACACTCTTTGGGTCCTGTCACTGGATCTAACCAACGTGCCATGTGTCCGTGAGGACATCTGGGTATGAATTTCTGGGTATTATAAACCTTATGTCTTCAGCAACCATTTTTACCAGTGCTCATATTGCAATTTTGCTGTTATCATTCCATGTTTTTACCAGAGCTCATATTACAACTTTGTTGTTATCATTGCTTTTCTCTGGCACTCCTTATTACTGGTTCCCATATTGTATTTATTTCTATGCTTGGTCGGCTCAGGAGATTTTTGTGGCCTAGCATATGTGCTGATTCCTTAAGTTTACGAATTTTGCAATGGTGTTCCTTGTCTATGATCTCAACATGATCCCAAAGAGGGCGGTGATCTCCCTTCTCTCTCCATATGTCAGCTATGCCTGATTTTTCTACTTCCCCTCGTGTTTTATAAGATTTGTAAGGATATATCCTTGGATAATTTAAATCATCAATTTATTGTGAAACAGGGCCCCTAGTTACAGAATATCTGGTCTAAGTCGTAAAATAAAAAATGCAATAAAACATAGACATTATTTAATTATAAAAACTTTTAATTGCTTTTATGAATAAGATATAGTAGGGATACCATTGTTTTTAACTGTTTTTTCGATGAATAATGTGTTTTTACAAGAATTGTTATATGTTTTAATAGTTTTAATTAGAATGATTTATAAAGTTTTAAAAATTCTCTATTAATCTGTAACCGATAGGTGATATTGTTATTAAGTAAAAATTATATTTACTAATTATAAATGGCAAATCTTGCAACGATTAAGCCACCTCCAGTAATTTAAAAATAATTTTGAATTTTTGTGTGTGTGCGTGTATAAATGTGACGATTTTTGTAAATACAGACGTAGTTATTTAGAGGCGGTTAATAATTGTTTCACAATAAACACCTTTAACAAGTTTAGCAAACAACCAATTACCGACTTTCATGTTTGTCACACGTGCCGCTAATTATGGAAACCTTGAGAAGGTGTTAAGAATGAGAAGTTTTGAGAAATGTATGTAGGTGTTGACATGTTGAGAAAATTAAGTCACTTCAAATGTGAAAGTTTTCAGGTTTACACAAATTATTTTGACAGAAAATTTTCTCACAAAAAATTAAGACTAAACAAATAAATTAATATTTATTCAATTTTATTTTGATTTATTTTCTCAATATATATTGGAGATTTAGTGGCCATATCCAGAGTCATTATCACGTTTTCGTAATGCTTATGAATCAGAAAATAAACAAAATGTTCTGTTTTTTTTCAGTTTTTTTCCAGTTTTTTTTAATTTTTTTTTTTAGTTTTTTTCAGTTTTTCAGGGGTTTTTTTTTCAGTTTTTTCCAGTTTGTTTTTTTTAGCATTTTTTCAGTTTTTTTAAAATAGTTTTTTCAGTTTTTTTTAAAATAGTTTTTTTCAGTTTTTTTTTAAATAGTTTTTTCAGTTTTTTTTCAGTTATTCAGGGTTTTTTTTTCAGTTTTTTCAATTTTTTAAAGTCTTTTTTCTCCCTTTTTCATTCCCTTTGCACAGTGGTTCTCAACCTGCTTTTACCCATGGACCAGTTTCACTCTTAACTTTTTTAGTGGACCTCCATGAGCATTCAATGAAAAAAAAAAAAAAAAAAAAAGCTTAATTTATTTTTTTTACTAATAGGTAAGATTAGAAATTGTATTATAGAACTAATAAATATATATCCTTTTCTCTTGAAGTAAAACTAATTTAATGAAAATAAACTTGTAATTAACAATTAAATTCTATCCAACATTTATGTACACCAGGAAAATAATTAATAATAAACTATTTTAAAATATGTGAGTAATTAATAAATTTTTAATGATATGCAGATTTATTCAATGAGGTCCTTGTGGTTGATTCTTTTCTGTGAGTTATTTTGTCTTTGACCCCATCGTGAACATTAAGGGTCAAAGATGACACCTTTTCACAATGTCCAGTTTATTATCATATTAATTAATTTATATTAATATATTAATATTTTACATTATCTAAATTATTCGGACTATTGTCCTCATCTTTGTCGAAATATTTATCACAACGTTTCGGCCGCTGTACGCTCAGCCTTCTTCAGGTGGTTGGAATTTCGAACCGAACCCTTTATATCGCTCACTGGGGTAGACTGTTCTAGTTCTACGTGCCATGTTTAATGGATGTCAGTTATCAGTTATCTCCTGTTAATTTCCCTCTGAAAG